TAATGATTGGAGTAAAACAGTTGTGCATTCCCTCACACTTACACATTTTGGGATTCCACAAGGCCCACAACTCTTCCATTGGGAATGGTTGGGGCCTCGACTTTGAATTCGATGTAACAACATGCAACATGAACAACAGAAACAACGACAAACCTAAGCTGTGCCACCAAATGTGCCACTGGCCACAGGAATTTGGCATGACGGGCGGATGGGGCAACCTGCCGTGGCACCTCTTGGATGGCGTCAAGCGTTCCCTGGGGCCCCATGGCTGGCATTCCCTGCGCCTCCTCCGCGCCACGCGCCTGGTCAACCGCCACTGGTCTGCCTGGGCCACAGCGGCCACCACCTACCTGGAGCCCTCCCCCGGGGTGGTGAAGAACGATGCCAGGATGGCCGAGATGGTGGTGGCCTTCCCGGCCGTGCGAGGCTTGCGCTACAGGTTCCGCCAGAAGATCACAGAAAAGGACCTACTCCAGATGGCGATGTGGACTAGCCTGACCGAGTTGGACATCGCCGGGTGCTGCCATGGAGAATGCCTGACGGAGGGCCTGCAGGCCCTGTCCAGGGTGACGTCGTTGGGCAAACTGGGGCTGGGCCACTGCTGTAGGGTCACCAGCGGCGGGCTGGAGGCCTTGGGAAACCTGGGGGCGCTCACATGGCTGGACATGGGCGCCTGCTGGGAGATCACCAACAAGCGCCTGGGCGGCCTGACCTGCCTCAGCGCCCTGACCTGGCTGGAGCTGGGCTGCCTGGTCAAGAGCAGAAACCGCGTGGACAGCGTGGGCTTCAGCGCCCTGGAGGGTCTCACCAACCTCCAGCACCTCTCCTTTCAGGGGGCGTGCCTGATGGACGCCGGCCTGGTGCACCTGGCCGGCCTGAGCCGCCTCAGGTCGCTGTGCCTGGTGGGGACGTGCGTGGCGGGCTGGGGCCTGGGTCAGTTGGACGGCTTGGGACAGTTGACGGCCCTGGACCTCAGCCAGTCGGCCGTCGGCGACAGGGGCCTTGCCTTCCTCACGGCCTTCAGATCCCTCGCCCAAATCGAACTGGAGGGGACGCTCGTGTCCGGGGAGGGCTTTCGCCACCTGGGCACCCTGACCTCGCTGAAAAAGGTGGGGCTGCGGGGGTGCCGGCCCGTCGGGCCAGCGGGCCTCAAGCACCTCGCCCAAACGTCCGGAATAACCGACCTGGACCTTGGGGCCTGCAGGAGGGTGACGGACGAGGGCGCCAGGGTGCTGGCGGCCCTGACGGGCCTCCGCAGGCTCGACCTTGGAGGGACGCGGCTGACGGACGGGGGCCTGGGGGCCCTGTCGTCCTTAAGCTCCCTGCGGCACGTGAGCGTGCGCGGGTGTGGCGTGACGCCCGGGGGCGTGGGGGCCCTCAGGGCGGCGCTGCCGGGGCTGGAGGTGGCGGGACTGACGTTCAGGCTGTACCCCCGCGTGCGGAGGCTGGTGACGAGGTGCTTCGGGGCCGTGGACGGGGGGGACGCGCTTGGGCGGGCGTAGTGTTGCTCTTCGCTTGCGGCGATGTTTTGGGGCCTTTGTGGCCCGCGTCGGTTACGGTTTGTGGTTAGGCTGTACGACGCGCTCAATGTCTTCTTTTTTCCCTAGTGTGGGTGCTTGGCTGGGGACTCCCTGCTGAATGGGGAAAGGTGCTAATGACTGATGCACGCCCATTCGCTAAGGGAAGACGCTATGTCGAAATTGCTTGAGGGGTGGGGGTGGGGGGATCCAGACTTGTGACGCTAAGAGATTGTGTAATTGCCAGAAAATCGACAAGAGCTTGGAAGATGCCCAAAACGCTGCTGAAACGAGGGGAAAAACTCATAAGTTGTCCCAAACCTACCTTGAATGTTCAACTTTCACAGAAAGCCCCATAAAATCTCAACTGACGGCCTTCAAGGCTGACCCATCGCCTGCCATGGCATTTTGCAGCCTGATACTCAGCCCACTATAATCGCTGGAACTTTGGTTGTCTTATTCTTTGAACACAAAGTTGTGTCACACTATTGGGCAATGTTGCTGAGTCATCTTCGCTTCGAAATAAGGATTGACGCCAAGTGAGAGGGTGTTGACAAGCCTGTGCTGAGGTGTGTTGTTATTGTGGGGTGTGTCTGTTGAACCTGGTTATTGTGTGTTGGTCGTTGTATACTCTAGAGACTCTGATTCTGTAAGTACCTTTACTTGTTTGGTACACTCTCTGGGCAGTGATTAAAGGCCATAATGGCAATCACACAGAATGCCTTTCAGCAGCAAGTATATGCGAGGCTCTCTTACATGCTGTGAAAAGAAGATACAGAGCCTCTAATGCAAAAAGACGAGGTGGTTGGTGTTGGGTAAGGGGTACTGTACTATATTCAAACCCTCAGCATGAAATTTTTTTTGCACTACGCATTTTGCTCCGCATTTGTTTTTCAGAGCTGTAGTTTTATTATTTTTACGAGGCTCTGCACAAATTTTACTAAAGCTGCGCTATTTATTTTACTGTTTTCTCCGCAAAAAAGGCCAAGCGTTACGTTGTTATGCAGAAGGGCTTGAAAACCAACAGTATATGAGCTTAACGTCTCATCGACCCTAACAGTACCAAAACCGACATAGCGTCTCCCCTAACCAGGCAGCGAACGGCAGCTATATGAAAGCCACGATTCAGCAGGAGGTCACCAAATGTGGCAAGAGGAGATCGCAGCCAAGATCACAGCCCCGCCAGCCGCATTCGCCTTCAACAAGCCGCCAATCACACAACACGTTTCAAGCCACAAGCCACCAGAATTCGAGCGCCGGTGCTTCTTTCGTTCTCTCAGTCCAACATCATCCCCGCAATCAACCGCCGCACTAAAAAGCCCCTCACGGTCGCGCACCCCGCCCCCCCCACCCCAGAGGTGGCGCCCAGCCTTAAACTCGCATTTTGCTCTCAAATGAAAAGACTCCAACGCGCTCTCGACGGAACGAGAAGTCTTCCCTACGCGCTCTTGATGGACGAAAAGACACCCAAGCCTGAGCTCCCTGCACACTCCCACCCTCCCCTCGGTGCATACCGCCGTCCTCAATGGGCGCCGGCCGCCCCCCACGTCATAATACCCGCAGGCAAAGAAGCCCAGAAGAAGCAAAATTCTTGTCGCCCAACACCTACCAACCAATTAAGAAATCTCCAACACCCAAGCGAGGGGGGAGCCACAGGCTCCCCGTTCGCAAAGAACGACGAAGGAAACACACAGTACACCCCTCTTCAATTTGTACACGTCAGCGCACGGGCGCATCAACCACTGAGTCGATCCTGCAGCCACCCACAAGTCGATTCTCCAAACCTGTGCTGCCAGTCCTGGTTCAAAGTCACAAGCCTGCTGGCCGCCGCCTGTGACTGGTCGTCGACGAGGGGGCTGAAGGCCTTGGAATTCAAATCTGCAGAGAACTCTGCGCCTGACATTACATCCGCGGCATCCTGCAGCCAGGCGGCCACCTTGCAGGCATCAGTGGCGTCCACCATAGCCTCCAGCTCGGCCTTAAAGAATCTGTAGACCGCCCGGGCGGTGGCGGCGCCGCGGTCCAGCAGGCCGCCAAAGACTCCGGTGATGCTCATTCTGCTAATGACCCGCACCTTGTTCTGCACAGTTTTGAAGTTCAGCATCAGACATCGGTTGTGAATGTGCATGTACACATGCATGCACATCTGTGTTTGGCGACAGGGCAACAAATCGGTATGGGTTCTCACTGGTGATGCTGCAGAAGAATGGACACCACGTTCAATGCCACGTTTGGGTTCAAGGAAAATGAGCAGCGAGCCCTCTGGTGTGATTCATGCGAAACTGTAGTCTGTAGAAACTGTAGTAGTCTGGGATTCGTATTGCAGCAAGAGCTTAGCGTGCATAGTTTCCATTCGCTTCGGGAAAGCATGCACTGACGGGACGGACACTAAGAACACAGTCACAATACACACGACTGCCCACTGTCGAGATGGCGCAATTCCTGGGCTGACCGACCGATTCAAAGCAAGAAAGCAACCATTTTGGCCACAGCAGTACAGCTGCATAAAGTATGCACCTTTGGTGTCCAGCTGGAAATCAACAATGCTGTTTGCACAATGACGTCCAAGGCGATTACCCAGTTGCCACTGCCACTCTGCGATGGCGGACAGGTTTGCATGGCTGTGAGCATGCCAGGGAGGGGGAGTCAACTATAGGCATGAAGCGAGGCAGATAGCTGCCAATACATTCTATTTGCTTGCTTAGTCTCGTCGTGCAGGGAGATTTCTGCCCCGTCTTTGACAGCGCACCAAAACAGTCCAATAAACTATCGTTCGAAATGTAAGGCACGCTTCAGTTTGTTAGTGAGAAGACTGTGATGACACCACAACCACACCTAACCACAGGCGCCTGTGCAAATGACACAAAAATTGCCTGTGGGACAGGAACTCACAGCTTTGCAAAATCTTTCACGCAGACACACATAATACCAAACGCAACTCAAAATACCTGCGCAGAGTCCCCCTTCTCACATTCTCTGTTGTGTTTCATTCGTTATGAATTGCAGGCAAACGCACATTGTTGGCCTAAACACGTACCGCAGATCATGGAGGATAAAGCGGCGGGCGTTGGATAGTGCGGGGGCCTTTAGATAACGCCCCCAGCGTTATCAAACATGGCCAGTGTTGCAGAGCGCGGGGGTACACAAGATAGCGCGTGGGGGCGCAATTCACTTCAACATCACGTGCAACCACAATGCAAAAGCACTTTCTCACATTCTTACATCCCATTGCACACGCTAGCACCCCAACGTCATCAGGTTCACTCTAGTTAAACGTTGTCATGACAAGGTTGTCGGCATCTCCAGGCTGTCTCTAGGGCAGTGCGACGTCCCGATAGCTGTTATTCGTTGGCGCTGTGATTGGTGCCCTATGCAATCTTACGTAATGCTGTGTAATATGCCACATTGGCCAGGTGCCGGTTCGCTTGCCAATCAATCTGGCAACGTGGGTGGCGCGGCATAATGCAGCGACCTGTGGCGTCCTTTCACTTTTTCTGGCGCCGGTTTTGGTTGCTGCAGTGAATGGCGCCTCATGTAATGCGCTGAGTTGCAGGGGCGCCGGCACGCTTTGCTGCCGGTACGAGGGCCAGCGTGGTAACGCGGGGGTGTGCTGCTGAGTCAGCGACCTGATGACGAACGCGGGGGGCAAGGAAGATAGCGCGGGGGCACACAAGATAGCGCCCCCCGCATTCCTGACGTCAGCCCTGATGTGGAACGCGGGGGGGCGCTATCCTCCGTGATCTACGGTACTTAGATTGGACCAGATTGACACCAATTCAAGGGTGTTATTTGGCGCCCTTTTCACCGTTGAACAAAGCCCAACAAGGGCAGGTCGGTGCAATGCCAAATGCGCAACTGCCTGCTACCTCCTTGCCTTGACATGCAAAGTTTCATGAACGAACGCATGCACAACAATGCGAGAATATATTACTCCCCCTTCTTGTTTGCTGAGATTCGGTTCTTATTCCGCTGACAAGGCCAGTCCCGGTGCGTGGATCAGTAGTTGGGGTTTAGGGTGTCCGAAAACAAGAATCGAATCTCAGCAAACAAGAACGGGGAGTAATTTTATGCCCAACAATGCCATGCTTGCTCATAGCTTCACAACCCACTCGCAGAGCCCATCGAATCAAATGGACAGGCAACTCAAACAACACGTTTGGTGCAATGCCCAGCCCCACGCTTCACCTGAGGATCGACGGCGTCCGAGATCGTGAAACGGATGACGTCAGCGACGAGGTCTTCATTTGGTGCGTAGGTAAGGGCGTGGAGGGCCCTGACCTCTTCGTGCACTTCCTCCGCGTCCAGATACTTCGATTTCATTCTCTTATACACAGTCGCATTCCCTCCGGCAACAGCAAGGCTGCAGCACACAAAACAGAGTTCAGCAGGCTGCTGAAGCGAGCTGAAGTGAGAGCCCATATGTTTCGCATGCAGCAGCATTGAAGCCAGGTCATGCGGCACACAGTTGACTTGTTAGTGCATTCAATGCACAGCCCCATTAGTTTCTGGTCCTGAAAAACGTCACGGTGCAAGGAAATCCAGGAAGAACACATGTTGAACACAGAGCAATCCAGACCAACAACACACTGCTTGTCGTACTCCGCAAATTTGCAACTGTACTCAACAACTGGCAGAGGTTAATCACAGACAAAAAGTTCTATGGCATACAATGGGTACAATGACAAAACCTACGCCGCCGTGGATTTCAATGCAGTACTTTCGTCAACTGCACGCCTAGCGCGAAATGCAGCAGTCCCCGAGCACCAAGAATGGGACTATCGCCACACCTGTACACAACACGCTGGATGTCTGGGTGGAGGTCGACACCCCCTCCCCCATCAAGTTGCAGCGCCTTCCTCGTCACCTCTTCATCCCCCAGAAGCCCTGCATTCTCCAGCACTGCCATCCTCATCAGCCGGAAGTCCAGTTTGTCGTCTTCCCCAACGACGAAGTCCAGACCGACCCTTGGGTCGCCAGGCGACTGGACCGTTGGGAGGGAGGCCATGAATGGCACCGTTACGTTGCCAGTGACGTAATCCTCCAGCAGGTCGGTGCAGTGCTGTATGTTTGCGGCGCCAGTGAGAAGGTCGCGTGTTCTCAGCAGCAGGGGAAGGGCCACCGCCCATGGGGAGCTGTCAGGGTAGAGAGGGCTGCCAGTGTTGCGGAGGGCGCCTGGCACATTCCACAGGACTGGATCAAATCAAGAAGTGAAGGCCCAGTGTTCACAGGGCGGATGTGCACAGTCCTCACTGGGCTTCACAACGTCGATTGCAGATGGTCGGACCTGACAGCAGAGGCTGCTAGGTGCCGCCTGGAGAAACTGTGTGAATGGGTTTCTCAGCAGTGTCACAATTTCAAACAGTTGCCAGACTTTCTGACAAGAGCTCACAGGGTGTCTGTCTGTGGTATACGACGTATGAAGACTGTTTCAAAACAGGAGGCAAAACTGTCAGAGTGCCACGTTGCTCATCCAGCAATTCGCAATTTTCATTTTTGTGAATTTTGGCTCTCCAGCAACAGGTGGGGAGCACAGATTTTTGAACAACAATTATTGATGGTGTACGGGGTCGCCTGTGCAAGGGAGGGCACCCAGCGCATGTCCCTGTCAATGTTGAACTTTGCAAGAGGCCTGTCGCATTGACTCATACTGTCACACTGCTTCTAGGTACCTAAACACAAGGAAGAATGATTTGTGACTTCTCAACGTATCATCAGCAAGGTTCGTTTTTGAACCAGAGTCAAGAGCACCACAGAATGGTCATAGCCCCTTCACGTTCTAGGATTCTATTCCACAAAACATGTGAGGCTAAAACGTACTGTGAATGCAGTGAGAAAATTCCCATTGGATGGAACATTCAGCAACAGACTCAGCCTCCCCATCCAACGAAACACGCTGACTCACCGAGGGTGGTTGTCAGATTGAGGAATTCGTTGAAGTGCAGAGCATTCGACCTCGCAAGGACGAAGGCATCGTCCAGCATGGCTGCCAGGTCGATGGGCCCCACCCTGAAACTGTCATCGTCTTCTGGTGTAGACATGGCACTCGAGAGCAGGCTTGCTGCAATTCGGGGATCGTACTGCACACGGTAGAACCCGAAGCGATCGGCATTGACCAGAACGGTGTCGTCCTCGTCCCGTAAGGTGCCCAATTTGAGGGGATTGCAGTCTTCCAGCAGCATCCACTCAAAGTCCGACTTAGACTGCAAGCAAACAACGACTTAGCTTGGCTATACTGTGCTTGGGTGGAAAGCTGCACCTTTGGTACCCATTCACTCCAGAAAAAGTCTGCAAGAACAACAGCCTCACATAGCTGCGAAAACCAGCTTGGTTGCAATCTAAACACAAGAAAATGTGTATACTGCACGCATTCTCAGAGGCGTAACATGGTGGGCACCAGCCGCAAACAGCAGGGTAGAACTCCTTCGCTTGTCTGGCACCATACATCACATGACACTGCCCTGTGCAAGAGGGCTAGTGGATGGCACCACGCAGGGGACCATCACCTTGCTAGTTCAGTTTCCTGCCATTTCGGCTTTCCATCCCAATGACGAAAGGTTAATAGCCATTCCGTGTATCCAAGGCATTCAGCTGCAGGGCAAAGGCGCCCCGCAGTGCGCAACATGTTCAGGAAACAATGCACAGTACAACAATCTCCATTAAAGGCACGCCAGCTGTACCATCATGTATACACCTGGTTTGAACTTCCCACAGCACCCAAGAGGCCTTCGGTATTCGATCTGTTTGCCATTTCCACGCACCTTGAAACGATACCTCACAGGGATCCACCAGTGGCTGCTGTCGCACTGCTGGGCTCCGTTCAAATCAAAGGGCTTCTGGGCGATGAAGACATCGCGCCCATCGGGCCCTCCCAAAGTCACGTTGACCACAGGGTGGCCCCCATGATAGAGCCACCTATGCATCCACGTGCGGAAGGGCTGACCTGGAGTGATGCTGCAGCCCACTCAACAACTTGCTGGGTCCACATCAACACTGCAGCCTTTTGCAGGCTCTGTATGGTAGCATTGTTTGGGGTTGTGCAGACCAATGTTCCAGAACAATCACCAGAGCAGAAATTGCATGCCTAAGTTTATTGTAGGTAAGTACTGCTGGCACCATACCCTTTCCAGCAGCATTCAGTGATAATATGTGCCATGCTCTTCACAACATGCACTCATTCTCATTTATTGAACAACTACATTCTTGAAGGAGCTGGGTTGAAATGCAGTAGTTCACTCACAGAACATCACTGGATCGCAGCACCAAACTTAGCATTGTTGTTGGTACTATTGTTGTTGATCAGCCATTGTACATCAAAACATTACATCACATGTACTCCTGTTGTGTCTATTCCAGAATGTCCCACAACTTTGTACTCTTGTTGGCTGTCACCCAATAAGAAATGGGAACTGGCCAACTCAGTCAACTCAGGAGCGAAGCCATTTATGCTATACCAACAGATGCTCAAAACAAGCAATTTCTGCAGATGCAGAAAGGGCAATACAAGGGACGTTCCAAGCGATGCTTGAAGCACAGAACTGGGAAGCGGACGTGGACACATGACAGGAACGACAGATGATGACAGCACAGAAACACAGGGCTGGAAGGCGCAAGGCAGGTGGATGTGCACATTGCAAAAGACACAAAACAGGGACCGCCCAATGAACCATGTAGCCTGCACAATATTCTTCACATACTATGGTTTGCAGTTCCCAAGCTTGTGCAAAGATGGCAGTACAACTTTCGTTTTGCAGTGGGTGCTCAGAGTTAAGGCACTTCAGGTTCACAGTGTTGGGTAGGTCGGCAGCTGGTCAGACAGGAATACATTTGCAACATGGGTATGTTGCAACTGGGCGCACCAGTTGACTCCTGCAGGGTATCCAGCAGGTCAGCTGTCACTGTATTGTTGAACTGGAACCTTGACAAATAGAGCCTCAAGGCCACCAAGAATGCATCCTCGTCTGGCTGTGGCATCTCCACATGGTCGCGGATCAAATATGTGTGGAGCATGCGAAGGATCGAAGCACCCTGCATGGGACGTGGAACTTGCAGACACAGTCAGAGGCAGAGGTGGGCTTGGCAGCAAAAGCAGAGGCAACAGTGGCTGACAAAATGGGGTTGTGACCCCCCCAACGATCTGAAATGCATCTTGTCAAACCAAAGGAGAAAGGAGGGTGATGGTGATCTCATAACTGACACAGAACAATACAATTAATCCACTGTGCCTGTTACTCTCTAGGGCTTGCCCATCTAGTGTAGGCAATCACTGAACTATGGGGTTTCACATTGCCAGGATGGTCATGGCCGAGCTCCTACTTAAATACCCTGAAGCATGGGGTTGGGAACTAGCCCTTCACTGCACTAACCTATTGGAAGAGTCCTCTTCCAAGAAAACCTACCCATCTGATGTGACAGAAAACAAATTGTACAACTTCGTTATAGAGGTGATCAGCATACACAATTTTATTAACTCCCAAACCCTGGCGCTTGCATTCCAGACATTGGTCTGTCCTGTGTACTGTGTATATGTCTTGCATGTGTTTATGCAGCACATAATCTGTTTGATATACTAATATGTGGACAATGCACAATTGCAAAAGGGTTCAGGCGCCAAAATGCAACCGACAGGCTTCCTGCAAATGTAAAAAGTGCCTATGTCAAACCAATCAAAGGGATAACGAACACATTCTCAACGCAGCAACGCAAAAAGCAACGACAAGCGTCAAATTTCAGCTCATCAGCATACGAAGCAACAAGCACTGAGTTCTATATCTTCTTAAACATCTGGGCACTGCACAACCTCATGCGAAGCCTTAGCACAACCCTGCTGACAATCCCCTACACACGTACGCCACACAACATGGCACGCCAGTCGCACCTTCCAGTAGTTCAGTGGCCCAGAGACCCTCCGCAACATCCCGCAGGACAGGTCCCCATCCCAGTCACCTTCATCCCTTGACAGCGGGACCTTCGACCAGGGTAGCTCGTCTGCCCACAGTGCAGGCCGACCCACTTGCAGGTAAAACCTTTCCATGAAGCCCGCATCCACGCCCATGGAATTTGCCGCCCCCAGCATCTCAAAGTGCTTCGCAAAGCCCTCGTTCAGCCAGAGGTCACCCCAGGTGCGCATCGTCACCAGGTTGCCAAACCACGAGTGCGATATCTCGTGTGCAGTTACTTGCGCCGTCCGTTTCCAGTCCATGGCGCTGGAGTAGGCATCGGAGGCAAGGATGTCCGTCTCCCTGGATAGGATCAGGCCCCAGTTTTCCATCGCTCCGCCGCCGAAGCCAGGCACAGCCACCCAGTCCAGCTTGGGGAGGGGGTAGCTGATGTCAAACAGGTCCTCGAAATACGTCAGGGAGGAGGCCATGAATTCCACGGCCCGGGCTGTCTCCGTCGCCCTGTCCACATCAGTTGACAGATGCTGTGAGACCTAGCCATTTATCGCAGATCTTCCACAGCGAATTTGTGCAATCCCACTCATCTTCAACCACAGAGTTCACTGGTATCCCAGCAATCAATAAGCACAAGAGAATCGGTGCTGGCAGCAATTCTTGGGACCACATTTTGTCCTTGCCACCAGGGTACAGGACAGCAAAACTGACAGCATAACAATGTTCTTTTCTTTCATAATTGTGGAATCCATTGAAACAGTAGCCACAGGGTTAAAACCACACAGCCAACAGCTACTGGGCTTCAGCCACTCGTGCATTCAGCAACTTTCATCAGCATCCCCTGCCCTTGCTGCTATTCATCAAGTTTTCCTCCATTCCGTCCCCTCTCTTCTGCCTTTTCATTCCATCGCTCATGCCAGCTGCAGTCTGACCTTACCTGTTGCACTGAATACCCAAGAGACGAAACACTGTGGTGGCTTTGTGTGCTCATCATCGACAAATTCAGTACCTGGGCTTTGAAATGGCATGTGCGAGAACTGCACTCACAAGGATTGCAACTCACAGTGTTGGTGTTGGTCATACACTGTCCACCTTTCCACAGCCCTTGATGTGCTGTCTCCTGTTTCTACCTGTGGTAAGACAAAATTCCAATTCGCTTTGACAACGAACTTATCCTGCTGCTTGCTGCTCTCTCTTTCCTTTCTCATATGACATGGGCGCTAGTTCGTGTTTTTGACAAATACAGTCATGCCCTTTTAGACTGCTACCAAATTGGCACTGTCTGATCACCTGCACTCAATAGAGACACTTATTTTCGACAGAGCAATTTCAGTTTGCACCTTGCCAGCAAGGATATAGCCATGGCGCATTTCCATTCCTTTCTTTGTTGCTTCTCCTTTCGCTCAGTTGTCTTTGTTCCGTATTTCTTCTATTCATCTTTTTTCTTGCTATCTTTTCTGGCCCCTCTGCCCCATGCGCCATTTTACTTCACCTTGTTGGCGTGGACCACACGCTTATCGCCTTTGCCCCATCCCTGGTTTGCACCACCTTTGTCGAGTTGCGCAACTCCCCAACAGCGATGGCCAACAGGTATGTCGGCATCTTGGGCGTCTTGAAGAATCTGTGCTTCATTTTTGCCCCTTCTTCCATGGTCTCTTGTGACTCCACAGGCATATTTGAAAGGGCGACAACATCGGATGGTGTTGTCAAAGTGACCTGGAATTCCGCCTTTGCCATAAACATACAAACAAACAAAGCATGAGAAAACACATTGGATATGCCGCATTTAGTGAGTGCAATAGGTAGGTGAAGTAAAGAGACTACTCTCCATTGGTGCAAAGCCGAGCACATGTTACATTGAACCCCAGCAGCAAGCTTTTGGAACTATGGCCACATTCCTGCTGATTTCCACAGTTTTTGTGTTTTGCTTCTCTTTCTAGGTGAAGAGCAGCTGCTGGATAGTAACATCCAGTTCTCTACAACGAAAGCTCCGCATTTGGATTGTGCGGCCCATTCCAGGATCAGCTCCTTGATCCCATAAAACCGTGCCTTCTTCCATCGCCACAGAGCTGCTCATCCACAGGGATCTGGGCCAACCAGGTTGGGGATATGGTGGGTTGAGGCGCCAAGCTCTGTGGCTTACATCAGCAGCAGGGCCTGCACTGCTGAATCTACTATGCAGGGAGAATCAGCACATGCAACATCCCCAGTTCGGGGCATATCCAAAGGGTGTGTCCAGCTCTTTGTGGAACGTTCCTGCCACGCAGGGAATGGGACACTGTTGAATGCGGCCAGGGAACAAAGTACGGCATGAAATGAAGATGTGGGTTCAGATTAGTTTTGAGTTTGATAGCTGCGGGGCCCACAGAGTTCCGCCACATCTGGTCGCTGTTGCAGCTGTTTTGCCAACATTGCAAGTCGTGCAACTGGAATGGTAGTCTGCGCATTACTGGCCGCAAACTTAAGCCAGTGCACAGGCAGAATTGCGAACAGCTCTCAGCACAGTGTTGAGACATAAAATCAACGTATTTCACACCTTTAGGTCTGGCTCATCAAAGCAGGGCAGCATCTTGCGCGCGCTTGTCGCTTCCAGTTGTGTTGCAGCCATCCAACGTGTGTTTCCATTTTCATCTGCAGGAGAAGGCGTTCGCTGGGTGTGAGCAAGTGGCGTCAGAAACGTGCACAGCAACAATGCCTGGCATTTGTTGCATCCAGCAACAAGGCACAGCAACTACCCCAGCTGACTTATTTCCAGCAAGTCTTCCAAGTTGCCAACATGCATGTACCTATGGTCAGCCAAATGCACTTTGGCAGACCTAGGCCAGGGAGCCATGCAATGCTGGCAGAGACAAATCTACCAGGCACTGCAAGTGCTGCTCACATGCAAGGTGACAGTGCAGTGCTTGGCTTCGCTTGGCTGTTGGGCTTTGTCATAACTATCCTGAAACAGCAATGCACCAATTTTGACTGCAAAGTACTGACAAACGACATGGGCAATCAACTACAACATTCCTTCAATGCATCAATACCAAGAACAGTACTCTCTGTGCTATGTGAGCATTCATGCTGTAGTTGATGCTGGGTCCCTTCAAAGGGTTTTTGGCATTTTCGTTTGCAACACCTCAAGAATGAAAGTGTGCTCAGACATTGCTTGCGATTGTTCCAACTTCCTCTAATGGCATTTCAAATTGCAGGCCGGCAACACAGGCCACATCCCATGGTATGCCCAGCTGTGGATACAACAACAGCCTGCCAGTCACCTTGTCACCACCGGGTTTGGCATCATCAAACAATTCTAGGCAATTGCCAATGAGAACTCACCATCATAAGAGTGCCTCCAAAACCCATCAGTGGTGTCATTGCGAAGTGTGTAGCTGAAGTCAACCACCACAGTGGCCCGTGGTCGAGGCAGGGGGCTGGGGAAACGGAACACGATGCGCTGATTGTCCAGGGAATGCCTGTCGATGGCTACAGAGTGGCTGCCTTGGGCAAAAGGGAAAGTAAACCACAGCAAATCAGAAAACATTGGAGCAAAAAGGTAATGGCCATGGCACACAGACAAAAGTACTTCTCGGCACCATAATTGAGCTAACCAACCAGCGTTCATGTGCAGCAGGGCCAAAGAATCTTGTCTGCCTGCAAAATGCCAAGTATGGCATTTTATATTTGGTTGAGATGCTTCTGAATTTTCGAGATCGAGGGTGGCCAAAGGGCGTATTATGGATGCTGTCGCTGCCGTAGCTGTTGAAACAGGCATTGACTGGACGTGGCTATGCCCAACTTCAGGCACAACAACTTGTCTGTCATGCCCTGTGCCAAGTGTTCCATGGCACCAACAATGGCAGGATCGACACTTTGCCTCTGTTGTATTTTGCCACTGCACTCCTGCACTAGCGGCCTTGCACACAGGAGTTTGGAAAAAGAAACACTGCAAAGACCACTGAGGAAAGTGATCTTCTATTTTGTTGTTTCCTTCTGTGAGACTCTGCATTTTAGTTCTCTGTGCCCATGAAAAGTTTCATTGCGCCACCACCCCACGCAACAGTAGAACCAACACACTATGAAAGATGGCTGATCTTCTCATACTGTGCAAAGATATTCCCATGGACTGAGAACAATTTGCCCATCGCTTCGATTTGATATGTTGTCCTTGCAGTTCCTGCAGGGCTGTGCAGTAGAACAGGAGAAAATACTTTCGTAGCAGGTGTGGTTCACAGTCTGTCCTGCTCCACCTAATGACAACAAGGTTACAGCCATGCAAATGAACAGCTTGAAAATCAGGGAACAGTAATAACATTGCTTTGAACCACAACCTGTGAAAATACATTGGGTTAGGGAAACGATTTATCGGGTTGGAATATTGTGTTAAAGGTGCACTCATGCACTCACATTCACACAAAGCACAACTGAAGCACAAACAACCACAGATGGCGTGGGTTGGCAAAAGACCCACATCTCTCCTGCTACGACTGTTGCACCACCCGGATTCTTGAATGATGAAATGCTTGGAAAAAATATGTAGGGCTGCAATGAGAAAGCAAGTTTCCAGGCTGGAGACTGGATCTACTGGTATGGGACAACGGTCCCATTTGCCTGCTGTCGAACCTGCTGACAAACACAGGCACACCCATGCTCCATATTTGCATGGACTTTGATTGGAGTTTCATATGGGGATCGTCAGGTGGCCATTGCCGAGAACTATTCCAGGAGTCCCAAGACTGCAAATAATTTATCGCTTTCGAGGTGGGCTTTGAGATAGCACACGTTTAGTTCTGACAAAACTTTGGGTGCAGATGTAGCAAACCACACCAAGCACAGTTACACACGACTTCTATCATGACATTATATGTCCTGTGGCTGCCATTGCCGCATAGCGATGCCAGCCCTACATTTGTTTAGCTGCCGAGCATTGTTCCTGTAGACCCTGTTTGCTCTTCACTGTTTTCTGCTTGAGCTACTGCTGCTATTCGCCCTGGGACTTCCATCCAAGAGTCTACAAGAGAAGAAGCATGATTGCAGCCTTTGCGATACTGGACGCATGGATTACTCATCATCAAGTTCATATTGGGCATCACACTCAGTTCCATTCACACACTCTCATTCCACAAGGCCCCAGCCATCGATTTTCTCCACCAGAAACCAATATTGGAACAGTGTTCCCAACCACACCTATTCTCTTCAGTAGTGTAGATTCAATGTGCAGCTTTCTGATGTTACGGCTGTGGTACTGGGGGTTTCATGATTACTGTTGTGTCAATCCTGCAGAATGCCAGTAGACTGGCTCTGTGAGGTCATCTGATTTGAGAAAGAGAACTCCACATTGACCAGCGCCCCATCTTTACCATTAACATCACAGAAGCGCTCTGTCATCCCAGGCTCCTGACGGTTTGGACAGAAAAATGTCCTGGATGAACACACAATTTGAATGCTGATTGAATGCAACTGAATAACACAATGCGCCCGCCATCGCCTGCATTGGGCAGGGGCTCCCCTTCGCGTTGGAAAGGGGCAAATTTTCACTAATCTGCTCGCTTGCTGGCTTTACCCAACACTTCTTCACTCACCGGGCGCCGAACCCGCCACCACCTGCGCCCGCCCGACCTCCATGCCCTCCGCGTGCAGCGCCAGGCATTCTGCCTCCCTCATCATTTCCACTTCTATCTCCACCCTCCCCTTCACCCCGAACGGCTGCCCCAGCTCTGTCTCCAGCTCCAGCTTGTACTCAATCGGCCTGGCCACCCCACCCAGCCCGCCACCCCCTGCCCCACACCCTTCCCACCACCGAGCCGTCCCATCCGATGAGGCCCCCCCGCCACCCCCGGACCCCGCCTGGGTGGCAATCACGATCATCGCCACGATCAGCAAGGGCAGCAGAACCGCGGCCGTGGCGGCCGCGACCAGCACCGCCCGCCGCTGCCTGTGGCTCAATCGATACCACCACTCGGGCGGCACCAAAAGGGACGCGACGCAAGGGACCGCCCTGACGAGCCAGCTGACGTCCTTCCCGCACACGGTGTGGCGCCGGGCGCCCGTGTACTGGTCCCAGTCCAGCAGGACCTCGTCCTCGATGTTGTCCAGGTCGAAGACCTCGACGTCCTCCAAATCGTCCGGCGTAAAGGTCCGCCCGCGGCTGTGGCGCCCGCGGCCGGCGCCCGCATCCCTGCTGCCGCTGTTGGAGGGGCTCAGCGGCCCGCCCGTCTGGGACACGCGATAGAACGGCGACCTGCCCTCCATCGAAGCCCCAAATCCTCAATGACTAACCCTGGAAGCCGATGCCCGCTAGGTGCCAGGTGGCCAAGCGCACCGCGCTCCCTGCCCCCCGCAACCTGCCCCTCTGGCGGGATCGCCAACCCCGCGCTGCAAATTTCGAGCGACCGTTCCGTGGATATTCGCGGTTGGGATCTCGAGCCAATCCCGGGCGATCGCGGCCCGAGGACGCTCGCGGAGGCCTCTCGCGACTGTGGCGAGGGGAGGCGGTGGCCGATGGGATCGGCGCCCACCGGCCGCCGGGCGGGTTTGAATCCTCGGGGAGGGCGGGGAGAATCTGGCGGATCCCGCGCCCCGGCTCGCGGCCCGCCAAGAGGGCCTCTGCGCCTCTGGAACGTGGTGCCGTGCCCGGCCCAGTCCCCAGTCCCAGGGGTCCCTTCGTCGTGTCGCAGAGGGGAAGGAAGGGCCCTGTTGTGGTGGGGCGTTTCTTTCGGGCAGAAAAAAAGCCCGTTACGCTATTACGTCACAATTTCGGGAGCGTTGGCTGTTCGCGGACGGCAGCTGCCGCTACTCTGGGTTGGGGATGGGTTCGCGTCTGGCGGGCGGGGCCGCGGGGGCGGGGCATAAAATTACTGGCTGCACCAAATCGGTGACTTTCTGCACTAAATCGGTGACTGCTTGCACCAACTCCCTCCAAAACTTACCTAACCTAAAGCTTAAACCCTAAAACCTGAAACTAAACCTGCCCTAAACCTAACCCTTACCCTAAAACTCGCCCTAAAACTAAACTTAACCTTAAAACTGAGGTTAGGACATAGTGTGTACGTGATTTGGTGCAAGCAGTCGCCGATTTGGTGCAGGCAGTAATACTATGTCCGGGGGCGGGGACAGCAGCCGAGGGAACCGATCGGTTCCCTGTTACATGAGTTACATGGAGCGAAACATGGCCGCGCCTGTTGGAAATCTCTCTGTGCGGAGATTTCCAACAAGCTTGGAAATCTCCGCACAGAGAGATTTCCAACAGGCGCGGCCATCCTTCCCCAGACAACCATCCGTCAATCATGGACACGTCGCGGTCGCAATACCACTGTTCCCCAACAGTTCGAGCTGCCGCATAATGGCCAGCAATCGCGTTGGTCATTTGTGCAAGGCTTGCTATTTACATTTGTGTTTATGGAAGACGCCATGTCGATTTTGGTACGCTTACCAACAATTTGACGTTAAACTCAGCGCCCCCCCCCCCCCCCTCCCCCATCAATCCTTATGTCGAGGCCAGGGTGACACAGCAACGTTATCTAACAGTGGTATTCAACTTCCAGGTGTTTGTAGTGAAACTGGAATTTGGCCCTCACCGGCCATTGTGAAACTGGCCCCGCTTCGTATTCGCCACTGTGCAAAACCAAACGATTCGTATTCGCCACTGTGCAAAACCAAACGATTGTCACTTGCAAGTGACAGGGCGCCCAGACCACAATGTGCCTTGGGAGAGCGGTCAAAAAGTATGCGGGCGAAAAAAATGAACGCAGCCAAAAAATTCGCATGGAGGTGTTTTTGCGCAGCGGCTCGAGCGCGAAATGCGCCAACATTTTCCGCCGCGAACTTTTAATTTGTGTGCAGTACAATTGCTTTTATTTGTAAGAACGTAAGTACGATAGGTGTTTACACCGTAAATAACAGGACTGGGTTATGCTACAAAGCTGGGCACCCGCAGCGCGCATGGTGCTCCCGTGGAGCACCTCGGCTCATTGTGCCCATTTCACAATGCCCGCATGTGGGCGTTGGGCTGGAATCAGGCTTGTTATTTACGGCGTAAACACAACCTGTAATTATTTGTTTTACACATTTTTACTAAGAAATACGTACATAGACGCTGTTTTTACGCCATAAATAACAAGGCTTGTTACGGCTTAGCCTGGTTGGAATATCCACAATTTACTGCGTTGAATGCGGGGGGCGTTGACTACCGGATGTGCTGTGTTTTATGATGCCGTTCGAACTGAGGTATTTGGCTGCAGTTAATTTATATAAAGCGCTTTAAAAACAGCGATATTCAAGACAACGAAACACCAACATTAGCTGGAACTGTGCATGTTGAGGTGCTGTTGTGGAATCGCTTTGTGGCAGGCAACCATCTATTGATCAGTTATCAATATCTGTCAATCATCGATGATTGTCAGTTGTCAATATTCATCAGTTGCTAGTCTGCACGTAACTCCACTGACACCTGATAAATGTTGACAACCATGGGCTTGCTGTGTTCATTTGAATCTATGTGTGGTGGAAAGTGGATGAGATCCATCCAGCTGGGAAACGCCTAAGCCCTTTTCCTCTCCAGGCCCCGTTGGTCCGGGGCGCCCGAAACGCCGCGCCGCAGTTCATCATGCAATTGTGCCACCTCAATACGTGTTGTCGCGCCGCCACACCGTTCCCCTCGCAGGGACAAAAACGGCCAAAAAGAGGGGTTTCGAGCTGTGTGAAATTCGTGCAAAAAAGCGTCAAAATGTGTAAAAATCACGTACACTCGCTCAATCGTTACTACGAGGTTTGGTTCCATTTTGTACGATCAACACACGGTCCAACACGATTTTTACACGACTTTTACACGATTTCTACACAATTTTCAATCGTTTTACAAGGTGCACGTTTTCAAAACCCTGTGTTTTGGCCTGTTTTCTTCCTAGAAGCCTCTCGAGCTTCCCTTGCTTCTACATCCTGTCGCAGCAATCCTTATCTCCAGGCTCAGGTCATCAATCGCGCCGCTATGTTAGACCAAGCGGGTGGCAAGCCGAAAGAATTAATGGATGCGGGACGCAAAATGCTTTTTGGATGGACCAGGCTTGGTTTTTACGTTTACGTTTACGTTTTTACTTTTACGTTTTTACGCGTAAAAACGTAAATTTGCAAAAGTGCCCATATTTACGGCTATTTTTACTTCTTTGCGTCTCCCTGGGACGCCCAGATTACATGTCGAAAGTTGCGTACAATGATCAGTCATCCGCCATATCCAGCCCCCGCAACACAGTGTCCACCTCGCCGTTGGCAAGGGCGATGATGGTGCTTAACAAAAACTCGTTTTCTGCCTCTCCCAAGGCGTCTGGCTGCGACTCTCCGAACTCCGCAAGTCTGTATGTACTGTCCTTACGTACACCGGGCAGTTTTTACGTTGTATTTACGTATTTTTGCGCATTTTTACGTGTAAAAACGTAAAAACTGTTTTTACGCGTAAAAACGTAAAAACTGTTTTTACGCGTAAAAACGTAAATACGATCAGTTTTTACGGCGTAAAAACCAAGCCTGGGATGGACGCATGCACGCCATCACCTACAAGGTGCACGGCCACCCATTTGCCTCGTCGAAAAGCTAACTTATAAAGCATCATTCAGCAGATGAATTCCAACCTATATAGGTATAACCAATATATTGGGCACGCCAATCGACCAATGCAATGGCCGCCGCCGGACCCCGCCGTGGCCGTCGCTCGGCCCACCTGGCAGCACGCAACAACATTTCGCATAGGCGATTCCGCAGTCCCAATTCCAAGAAATGAGAAGAGGAAAAAGGAAAAATATCAATATAAAAATGTAAAAAGGGAAAAGGGAAAGGAAAGGCAAAAAGGTGAAGAAAAAAGGCAAAAGGCGAAAAGGAAGAAAGGCAAAGGCACAAAGGAAGAAAAGACAAAAGGCAGAAAGGAGAAAAGCAAAAGCGCAAAAGGCAAAATGGGAAGAAAGGGAAGAACAAGAGATACAGACTTCCCCAAGCCTGTCGTCAGCACAACCTGAGGTCAACATTCCGTGTCAAAACAGTTGACTCCCTTTCCAACCTCTCACCGCCCGCGGGCCAATGCTGTCGACAGCGCCGCAAATGGCGCCACCCCGCGGGCCCCCCTGGCCCACCAACACGGTGAGAAAGGCGCCGGCCTTCCCCTTGTCGCGCCTGCCCGAAAACGTCCTCGACAGAATCTTGGTGGCCCTGTTCCGGGACTCGGTGGTCAGCGCCGTGGCGCTGAGCTCGGCTTCGCGCCAGTTTCGCGCCATCTTCGCGGCAAATTCGGCCACCGTGGGCGGGTGGAGGGAGGCAGTAAGGAGCGCGAAGTTCCTGAGGACGGAGAGGGACGTGGGGCGCATGCCCCCGCTGGAGATTGGGTGCAGGGTTGTGGTGCTGGGGCTGCTCGCCTTTGGGTACATGATGCTGCTGGGCTTGGCCTTCCCGTCGACCGGGAGCCTGGGCCTGGACGTGGCGCTGTCTACCTCGCAGGCGGTGCTGTGGTGTGTGTACTTCAACACGGCGCTCAACATCATCTTCAGGTACTTTTGCCTGGCCATGAAAAGCGGCGCCAAAAATGGGTCTAATTGAGGGTTCATTGGGTGATAGAGTGAGCTGGTGAGTGAGGGATAATGCAC